ATTAGAAGGGGGAGGAGAGAGGCGGGGCGCCGCCCGGTGCCGCTCGGCGAGGGCAGGGCGCCCATCCTCCAGCAGCCACGCTGCGGAGCGCAGGAAGCCCAGCGGCGGGCGCTGAAGAGCAGGCAGCAGAAATGCGGGAGTGGCGCTCGCCCCCCCACCCCCGCCGCCGCCGCCGCGGTCCGATTGTCTTTTGTAATCCAGCCACCCAGCAGGACACCCTCTCCTAGGGCTTCAAGACCGGTGGGCAAAATGACGATTCCTCATTAACGGAAAAGGCTCGTCTGTTCAAAGAAACGAGGTGCTCCAAAGATGCCAAGGCCATTAATTCCGAGCTGTGCTGCTTGGCAGGAAATCCTACCGGGTGTTTTCAGCGCAAAAGAGAGCACACCAATCCTGGCTTTTTTCCTCTCCCTTTTTTTTCCAGACAAAGAGAGAACCCTGGCTTCTGTGTTTTGTAAATCCCTGTTAAGTGAAGAGCCAATTAATATTCCCGTGGCCTGATTTTATTTTGGGGTTTTCCTCTTGTCTCCGGCACTCGTTCCTGGCTCAGGGTCTGATGCCAGCTGAACACCTTCCAGGATCAGCAGCGTGAGCAAGTGGCTGTGTTTTTCTACTCAGCAGCTTCAGCAACCTTGGCATGGAGGAGGCTGTGGAGCTGCGCCTCCCCTCTCTGGCATGCCCAGTGTGCCACCCAGGCATCATAAAGAGCACCTTCCATTTTGCTCTGGTGCAGATGTGAACAGCATTCTTCTCCCCCATCTGCAGACATCCTTCACGGTGGATGTTGCAAAGGGCTTCCCTTAGCCCCATTCATCTCCCCGGTGATAGCGTTGCCTGGAAATAAATCTGCAGCCACGGCAGCTGCTCGAGGGTGGGTGGGGTCTTTTAAAATCGTCAATGTGTAGATAAAAGTGGGTCAAAAGTAGCAAACCGTCTATACAGGCAACTGCCTGCCTGTCTCCTGTGGAACTCCTCTCCCTTTTACACACACATCCAGGTATTAATGTTTGCCCACGTATGCACACATGTCCAAAATCTGAGTGCACGCTCCCCAAGTGAGCATACAGACATGCCTGCCTGGTACATACCTCGTCTGCCGCATGTCTTTGTGCGCGTGTTCGCCCATCAGCTCTTGTGCACCAAAGCCAGGTGCTCCAGTCCATCCTTCGCCCAAAGCCCTTTTCCTCCAGAGGTGTAGCTGGAAAAGTCCCTCCTTGCGGACTCGGCATGTTTCTTGTTGGTCTGCTAGCTGAGAGTTGTCATCAGACAAGCTGGCATTTCTCCATCAGTGTCGGCTGCCGTGGTGCAAGTTTGTGTTCTTTGTTTCCTTAGTGCCAGCTGGAAATGGACCTGCTGGGCAAAGAAGGCGTTCTGCCTGCTGCAGCTGTGTCTGGTGCCCAGGTGCCCCAGCCATGGCTGAAGAAAAGAGGCAAACAGGCAGAGCTGCTCCTCCTCCCTTGTTTTTTCAAAGGCATTGGGTGCCACCCTGGGATCGGGAGTTGCCTCCTGGTAGAGATGGCGGCCTTTGTCTTCTATTGCGCTGGCTCCACCGTGCCGTGGGATGCTAAAGGCGGGGAGGGGGATGCTGGAGGTCCAGTTGGTGCCTTGTGTGGGATCTCAGGAGCCAAGAGAGTTCTGGGATTGTCCTCCTGGCACCTGTGCCCTGGGCGCTGCTTGCTGCCTACTCCGAGTGCTGGGTAATCTCCCTGGCCTTCTTGTACGCTGGCCCATATTCAGGATCCTGGGATCCTCTGCCTACTGCCGCTACTGCTATCACAGGAAAGCGTGGCGTTGCCACTGAATGGATGGCATTGTGCCAATGAGTCTGCCATCCATCCATCCGCCCGCCCGCCCTTGCAACTCTGTGCCTCCCTCGCTCCCTCCTTCGCTCTTGATCCCCTCCTCCTCCTGTCCGCTCGACTTTAATTAACATGCGAATTAATTGATTTTTAAAGCTGAAGAATTACAGACATTTCGCAGGGGGTGCAGCTGTCTGCCGCTTGGCACTGTCCTGTTGTTGGGAGGGGCTGGGAGGACGATGCAGACGCCCAGGTGCTGAGGAAGGGGGCCAGCCCTATCACCTCTTGCTACTTGTTAAGAATAACCCTGCAGCCCCTTCCAGAGAGCATGAGGCAAGGAGAGGAAGTGTCCTGAGCCCCCCCCCCTTTTCTGCTTGGCTTCTTCTTCTCTGGGAAGGAAGCTGGAGGGAGGCAGGCAGGCAGGCGGGGGGCAGTTCCTGCCTGGGGTCCCTTGACTGGGAAGCAGAGCTGCTGGGAAGGCCTCCCCCAAGGGCCGGCCTGAGGCTTGGTGGTCTTTTTTCAAAGGACAAAAATTGGGGTTGCCAAATGCGACTGGCCTTTCCCTTTCGTGCTTCCCTTTTCTTTCCTTTTGTATATTAAAAAGTGCAAAGCACCTGCACATCAAAACCGTTGTGTAAATCAGGCAAAACGTCTCGTGACGAGTGAGCTGCCTTTCCACTGCTCCGGCTGGTGCCTCTCCCTGGCTCTGCTGAGGCTGCAGCCCAGGAGGGCTGGCCCGGGGCTTTTCAGCTGGCCGAGGAGCCCTTTGCTGTCTCGCCAGCGCCCTGGGGTGCCTTGGCAAGGAGCCGGACAGTGCAGGGCAAGGGTGTGAAGGGCATGAAGCCGAGCCTCTTCTGCCAATGGGCCCTACCACTGAGAAGATGGTGGCCCCTCAACTCCCTGCCCTGGGGGACGGGCTTCCTCTGGAGGTGCTGTGACGGAGACAGCTTTCGGTTGGCTGGCCCGGAGACAGGATGGCTGGGAGGCACTGTCGGTACCTTTTAGTGTACAGGGTGTTTTCTGCCAGAAACCCTGTCCCTGTGGGCTTCCTGCTTTTCTTGGCGGCCCTTCCCCGAGCCATTCTTCCGGTTGGAAGCTTGGTCCTGAAAACTGTGACCGTGGCCTTCCACAGCCATTTCCAGCCGAAACCTCTGGTCAAGCCCCTCAGTAAATTAAACCTGGCTCCTTGCTTCTGATGGAAAGAATTAGCTCAGCTTCTGGTGGACCGTTTGCTCTCTGGCTTTTAACCCTTTCTGCATTGGAACTGGGTCTCCTGCACCACTTGTGGCTGGCCGGGCGGGGCCTGGAGGCCAGAGCAGCTACGGTGCAGAACGCGCGGTGGCGCGGGGAGCGCTGTGGCTCGGAAGTTTCTCCTGGCATCGGTCGTCTCCGCTCTTCTTGGGAACTTGTCCAACCGCTCTTGATATAACGGCCTTTTGCAACTTTGAGCATGTTCTTTAGCTTACAGGCAGCAAGTCATCCTCTTAGGCATCTGTTACCCTGGAGTTTTCTGGTCAGCTCCGACTGTCAACTGTGCTCATTTCTCCATACGGTTTCTTTGTTTGCAACATTATGGCTTCACTTGCCCATTCTTTGGCTCTCTGATCCTTCAGGCATGCTGTAAAATGCTCACACTGGTTTAATCAGTGAATACAGACATATGTAGGTACCCATCACGCTGTTCCCTTTTGGGGAAAGCAGAATGATTCAAGCACCAAAAGAAGTAGTGAGTGAAATTAATTAGATGGAAGAGATCAGAGAAACTGGATCTTTCCGTGAAAGATCATCAACTGGGAAGATTCTGGTTGTGATTGATCAGGAGAGAGATGGTGGGGGATGCCAGGTGGCCATTACAAGAGAAAGGAGAGCCATGATTTGGCACTGCTCTGTGAGCCTGGCTGCCTGGGCCTTGGTGGCCATTTCACTAGTGCTGTAGCCTCAAGTTGCTGATGGTAAACACCAAGTCTGTTTGTAGTAAGGCTTGTTTATCCACAACTGGTTGTGGATGAGCAGACAGACCTGGTTATACAAAGGTGGTGATGCCACTCTGAGATTTGTTCACCCAGTTTTGGGGTTTCTTGAGGGACACCTTATCTTTGACTTAGTGGCCCTGCTGTTAGTGACAGCGTATGAATGCCTGCCTGCTAAGTTGGGCCTTAAAGACAATGCTCGACATCTGGTGTGCCATCCGTCCTGCTGCCCAGTTGGACCTCTTCCTAAGCTCTTTGACCTCTCCCTGGGCTGGCGTGGGTGCTTCCTTACCATCTGGTGTTAAGAGACTTCTACCTCTGTGTCCTAGGGACTGGGTTAGCAAAAGGGATGGAGCGCATAGCCTACAGGAAGTTTGTGCTTATCCTAAGTAATTTCTGGCCCAACAAGTACAGAGACATATGCTGTGCCTTGTTTTTTCCTCAGAGTAGTTGTGCTATGATCTGGATATGGAGGGTATCACATCTAGCCTTTTGCCATCGTGAGATCATTTCCTTGTCCAGTTGAGATTGACTGCCACCCAGAGCCTCCCTAGAGTGGAGGGATCTATTAGAATGGTCTGCTAGGCATTTTGAGGAGTTATGTGCAATCCACCAAGCAGTTCCACTGTTTCCCTGGCCAGGTATCAGGAGACAGTTGGACTCTTGATGAGATTACTTTCAAGGGGTCTCTTTGTACTCAGTGATCCCAAGGTGCCCCTTGGTGTTATGAGGCACTCCAACCCTGGGCCTCTGCTCCCTTCGCTCCTTGACTGAAGGCCTGTGTGGAAGCACTGCCTGGCCCCGTGCAATAAAAGAAAAGCCAAGGAAGAAGTACAACAGAGTTCTGGACAGTTCCTTGTCCTTCCCGGCTTAAAAGGAAGGACAGCACTATGTATTACATAATTTTTTATTTTATAATCTGTCCTCAAAATGCCAGGCCAGGCTAGGAATTCTGAGCAGCCAAATAAAGAGAAATGAATTGAGTTCAGCAAAGGTTGCCCAGTCGACTGCCAGAGTGTTACAGGTCTTTTCAGTAATGAATGAGGTGGAGACCACCACATTTAGAATGATATTCTGAAGGTTGGCACTTGATTTTATATCCAAAGCTGGTCTCTTGCCTATCTCCTCTCCTGCCCTGTATTTCTAGTTCTGCTCAGACATTTGTGTGTGCTTCTGCCTTGCAGGTTCTGAAGAACGAAACTTAAATTCAGGAACTATTAGAGGCCATTCCAGTTTCCACAGTGAAATCTCCTGGAAAGACTTGGAGGAGAAGCACCTTCAGGAAACTCCTTTGAGTTCTCTGCAAGAGAGGGTAAGGGTGACTTTGCTCACAGCTGCTAGCTATCCATGGAGGTGGGTGGGTGGAGGTGGGGTTTGAGTTAAGCTGGGGCTTTGGTTGAAAGACACAGCGGGCCAAGGAGAAGCAAAGGCCCTTCCCAGACATTTGGTTCTAGGGAAGGGGGTGGGCGAACAGATCTTGGCTATTCTTGGGTCTCCAGGCAAGTGGGGAAGGACACAGTCAACTGCAAGGGGCATTGGCTTCTTCCTGAGAGGCCAATCCAAACAAGTGTTTAGATTTGTGACTGTCCACATCCTCTTTAGCTAAGAAGTCCTTGTGAGAAAGATGCCAGGGAGCCTGGAGAGGGAAGGAAGAGCCCGGACACACGGCCTCATGTTGGGCACCTGTAGCTCTGTGGCTTCCAAGCTCTTCATTCCTTAGCGTCTCCTTGTCTGGCTCTCTCAGATCTGGCCGTCTTCTAATAGCTTGGCCGAGAAACAAGGAAGTTGACTCAAGGCTTGGCCATGTGGCAGGAACAGTCAAGCAAAGGCTGAACTGGACAGACTGAATGCCATTCAGAGAGCTGTACCTGAACAACGGGCTTGTTTGTGCCTCTGGGAATTTGTTACTGGCTTGGGCGGGACACAAATCAAACCAGGAACAAGTCAGGGAACCATAAGCATACCATGCAGTTCTTGCACATGATTGTAGCCAATAAATCAACACCAAGTCAGAGTAACAAGCTGCCTTCAGATAAGCCTTGTGGCCCTGGCTGCGTGATTCCTACCAGACAGGCTCTTTCCTTCCTTTAGGATTCCCTGCAGGATGTGGTACTCCAGTTCCACAAGCCTGCCTGGCCAACATCAGGGATGGTGGGAGTTGCAGTCCAAAGATGGCCACCCATCTTTGCTTGAGAATGGAGATGGCCCGAGGCTGGATCCGGCCAGGCCGTGCATCTTCAAGCTTCCAAGTAACCCACCCAATTTCATCTGGGCTGAAGAATGGATGCCTTTACTTGGAGCTCACCTCCCCCCAGCCCAGCCCCATTTGGCATACACACCTTTGTCTGGGCTCTTGCAGTGAATCAGTGGCATGGTGGAAGGAATAAGGGAAGGTGCCAGTTCAGAAGGGAGAGCTGTCTGGATTTATTTTTATATTTATTCACGTTAGAATTTAGAGGCTGCCCAGCTCCGCAAGACTCTGGGCAGCTTACAGCTTTAAAAGCACCAACAGTAAGGAGTAACCTCAAGTTCCCTTTGGTGTGGAATCAGCCATTCTCAGGATACACCCCTTGAAGTGAAGAACTTTTCAAGGGGTGACACAACAATTCCACAGCCCATGCTGCTCTTTATCAGTCTCTTCTTTGTCTCTTCGCCCAGCTGAACTCTGCTGCAAACACATTAACTTTTCCCGTTGACTTGTCTGGTGAGCTCACCCCCTGGAAACGAGCTGCTTGCCAAGGCAGAAAACGTGCGAAGATTTTCTGACAAGCTGGAGCAGCAACCGGGGTCAGCGCATGTCAGTCTGGATGCCTCTGCTTGGTCCGCTCCCTCTCGTGGCCCTTGGGTGGCGGTTGTGGGAGCCAAGGAGTAGTGGCCGAAGGGGCCTTCCTCCTCAGCAGAGGTCATCTTCTCCAAAGAGGTCACCATATAGGTCAGGGCAGAAAGAATCAGGGTCTGCTAACCACCCTTTCCCTGTCTTTCCTCAGACTGAAAAACTGCTGTCTGGCCAGAAAGATTGCAAGAGGAACCCAGTTATGGAGACAGAAAACGCTCGCCCAGTGGAAGAGGAGCAAGCGGAGCCGCGTGGGCATTCAGGGAAAGGGCAAACCATGTGGTCTGGGCTCCATGACACCTGGGTGCAGGTAAGGCCGTTGCCAGGGAGAGGCAGCCTTTCAACTTCAACTCCCTGCTCCGACAAACACCAGAGGACCCTGCCGATCTGTTTGGTTGCCCAGCACAGGGGAAAGAGCTTCCTCTTGCGTGACTGGAAGCAGTGAGGGGAAACCAGAGAACCTGTCATTCCAGCACAAAGGCAGCCTTGCAGGGCCAGCCCAACCAGCCCACCAAGTGCTAGTGGGGCTAGGACGAGGTTGCCTTGCTTATCTCTGCCTTGAATATAACGGCCTCTTCCCTTCTTCCATGCAGCATCTCAAGGCAGTTCACAAGTGGTTTGGAGGCTGGGCTTGCTAAGAGAAAGTAGAGCAGAGAGGCTGAGGTTTGCAGTGGTTCCCTGCCCTCAGTGGACCAGATTAGGAAAGCAGCCTTGGTAATAACCAAGCAGAGCTGGGGATTACCTTTCTGCTCAGTTGTTTGCTTAGGCCTCTGCCAAGCCAGTCACCATGCTGGGGGCACCCTTTTCCCAGAGACTAAGAATCTCTGGGTTTTAGCTTCTCTGAAAGAAGCCCTCTTCTTGGTTACTCCATCAAGTTGGTGGGAGGGGGCTGCTGTTTCCAAAACCAGAGCCCAAATGATACTTCTGAAGAAACGTTAGCAGGAGACCTTCTGTAGATAGATAACCAGTATTCATGGGTGGGGGGCGGCTTGGGGACAGAAGACAGTTGGAGTGGCTGCTGGAGATGCCCACTTCTCAGGGCAGGGGACAAAAAGAGGCAGCCTGCGAGGACAGGGTCCTCTGCTGAGCAAGTCTTGTTTGGACAGGAGAGGAAGAAGGCTGGCCTGGGGCCATGCCTTGGGCTCTCCAGAGCCTGAACTTGGGTGTTCCTTTGAAGAAGACGCCTCCAGATGGTCCAGAGGGGAGGCCTCAGTCATGAGGCTGGAATACCCCCATTTTCTCTCTCTCCTCTCTCCAGAATGTATTGAGGTTTGATGATTTATTTATTTATTTATTTCAATTCTGGCCCTGCCCAACTCCACTGACTGCTGCTCTTTCTGAGTTCCTGGCCGTGTTAGTTTGCTCTTTTGGGCCTCTGTCTAGCACTGCAGCATCTCTCCGGAAATGAGGCGACTGGAACCATCCAGTGCGCTCCAGATGTGGACCCTCTCCAATTTCCTTTATTGTGTCTACACTTGTTTTGGCACTACTTCTGATACAGCACTGCTATTTTCAGAGTTTTCTCCTGGCGCAGCAAGGGGAGCTCACCAGACGGCCTGTGCTGTCCTGTGCTCTTGAGTGGCCGCTCTCTTGCTTACTTTGTTATGAGCCCTTCTCCTCAGGCTGTGAAAGACTTTATAACGGTGAACCCGTTTGGGGTCATTTACAAACTCGTTGGCTTCGCTCCTGACCTCTGGCTTCAGATAGGTCCTGAATGTTGGAAGACACCAGTTCTAGTATAAATCTCTAGCGATGGAATTCCCTGCATGGGAAAAACATTACTTCTGCTTCTCGTTTTTCAACCGGTCACCACCGTCTGATCCAAGCGAGTCTGATCCCGATGACCAGCTTTGCCAAAGGCTTTCTGAAAGTCAAAACTTGCTAGTGGCCCAAGCAAGCTTAATTTTAAGACCCGGTACAAAGAATCAGTTCAGACTTCTAGCGAGAAATACCCCTCTCTTCTTTGCAGCCTCTGGATTGGCAGGGAGTGCAGGGGGTGCGGGCTAGGGGAGGAAACTTCACGGTCATACATCGAATGCAAGTCTCAAATATTTTTCTCTCACGTCCCACTCATGGCCTCTTTCTGCCCCGCTAGTCTCTGGCCCCAACAGAAAGCAACCACCACCCTTCCCACATTGCGGTGCCTGCCCTGCGCTCTTGGCTACTTGCCAGCCCTCGGATTTGGAGTGAAATAATTCGGCCCTTCTCATCCCTTCTCCCCTGCCCTGACCTCGCCTCACCTTTCCTGGGTGCTCCAGGGCTCCAGCGAGTGATCCGCACTGCAGCGTCCCCTTCTTCCAGGACGTTCGCTAAGTAGTGGTTCTGTGCTTGACCTAGGGCTCGAGATGTGCTGGACACACATGGGGAAATCATTCCCAGTGAGGGAGGGAACATAAATGGGATGAACGGGCCCTGGTCTCTCGCCTCAGCCCTCCGGTGCGCCCCTGTCTCTCTTCCCCCAAGGTGGCCTTTTCCCAGCCGCCTTGCGGGAGCAGTCAGGCAAGCCAGGAGTGTTCTTACTCAGCCCCGGAGGGGAAGGGAGACCGAGCGGGGCGTCCCTGAGGGTGGGCCCAGCCTGGGGCCTTTCAGGCAGCCCCCCCCCCCGCCGGGGCCTCTTTCCTGCTGTGTAATCCCTTCCTTTCCAGGGCCCTCAAGCAGCCCCGATGATGATGGGCTCTTGAGGGAACAAAGGCATTTTAAGGGCTCTGGAACAGGCCCTTCAGGCATTCTCCTCTGCCCTCTGCCAGGAGAGTCACTGGGTAATCACGGCGCGCCTTCCGAGAGCAGGCATCTTGGGA